GCCAGCTAGTCTGGCGCGACCGACGCGGTTGCGGTGGCGCTGACCGCCGGGAACATCCCAGCTGGCACTTCATTGCGAGTCTGCGATTTGAGCGGGTGCGGTATCGTAGCAACGTCCACAACGGTAGACGCGATGATGATAGAAGCGATCTGGTGGGGATGTTGACGACGACGGCGCGGCCAGTGCGGGCGCCGATGCTGGTTGCGCCGGCGACGATGATGGCGCCCTCGCGTCGGTCATGAAGGTTTTGGAAAGAGTTGGACATGCGCGCGCGGCCGACGCACGAGAGGGGCCTGCATGGTTGTAACTGTCACTGACCGTGCCCCCCCAGCACGCGCGCAACGGCGCGCGAATGATGCCGGCATGCGGCGCCAGAGGTCCGCTTGACAGAATCGTATGAACATGTTGAACATGAAAATTTACGCTTGTCCAAAAACCCGCAAGAGCGCGAGTGCACGCTTGTTTGAAAACTGATGTTGCGAAACCATGTTTTGTTATATGTGTTTTGCACACTCGGTTTTGAAACTGGCACGACGCCGTCAGGTTTTCAAAGTATGTCGGCACGCGCGCGCGCGGCGGCCAGCTAGGCTGGCGCGACCGACGCGGCTGCGGTGGCGCTGACCGCCGGGAACATCGCTGGCTTTTTCATTGAGAGTCGGCGATGTGGGCGGGCGCGGTATCGTAGCAACGTCCACAACAGTAGGCTCGATGATGATAGAAGCGATCCTGTTGGGGATGTTGACGACGACGGCGCGGCCAGTGCGGGAGCCGATGCTGGTTGCGCCGGCGACGATGATGGCGCCCTCGCGTCGGTCATGAAGGTTTTGGAAAGAGTTGGACATGCGCGCGCGGCCGACGCACGAGAGGGGCCTGCATGGTTGTAACTGTCACTGACCGTGCCCCCCCAGCACGCGCGCAACGGCGCGCGAATGATGCCGGCATGCGGCGCCAGAGGTCCGTTTGACAGAATTGTATGAACATGTTGAAAATTTACGCTTGCCCAGAAACCCGCAAGAGCGCGAGTGCACGCTTGTTTGAAAACTGACGTTGCGAAGCCATGTATTGTTACATGTGTTTTGCACACTCGGTTTTGAAACTGGCACGACGCCGTCAGGTTTTCAAAGTATGTCGGCACGCGCGCGCGCGGCGGCCAGCTAGGCTGGCGCGACCGACGCGGCTGCGGTGGCGCTGACCGCCGGGAACGTCGCTGGCTTTTTCATTGAGAGTCGGCGATGTGGGCGGGCGCGGTATCGTAACAACGTCCACAACAGTAGGCGCGATGATGATAGAAGCGATCCTGTTGGGGATGTTGACGACGACGGCGCGGCCAGTGCGGGAGCCGATGCTGGTTGCGCCGGCGACGATGATGGCGCCGTCGCGTCGGTCATGAAGGTTTTGGAAAGAGTTGGACATGCGCGCGCGGCCGACGCACGAGAGGGGCCTGCATGGTTGTAACTGTCACTGACCGTGCCCCCCCAGCACGCGCGCAACGGCGCGCGAATGATGCCGGCATGCGGCGCCAGAGGTCCGCTTGACAGAATTGTATGAACATGTTGAAAATTTACGGTTGCCCAGAAACCCGCAAGAGCGCGAGTGCACGCTTGTTTGAAAACTGACGTTGCGAAACCATGTATTGTTATATGTGTTTTGGACACTCGGTTTTGAAACTGGCACGACGCCGTCAGGTTTTCAAAGGATGTCGGCATGCGCGCGCGACGACGTGCGCTTGCATTCCGTTTCACTTGTTGCAGAGGATTCCCGCGGCGGCACGCGCGCAAAGGGCGTTCGAACGATTTCGACATGCGCGCGCGAGCGAGGCTCTATTGGTAACATTTACAGAAAATGATGAAACATCTGCGTCTGTCCGAAGAGTTCGCAAGACCGCTTGCAGGTTTGTTTTTGTACATCGGTGTTGCGAAAGAAACGTTTGTGGTAATAAAAAGAAATGGTATTGGGCACTCGATGCTGGTATCCGTAAGAGACAAACGTTCTCTCTCTCTCTCTCTCTCTTTTCTCTCTCTGTCTCTCTCTCTCTCTCTCTTTCTCTCTCTCTCTCTCTCTCTCTCTCTCTCTCTATATATATATATAAAAGCGCAATGACGCGCGCGTTCGCACTGCGCCCCATGTTTTGCAATGGTTTCGGACGATTGGTTGATAAACGAGTGCGTGCGCTGAGTATGTTTTGCACAAGATGGCGGTGGGGGGTCAGTACAGGCTCGGTTGTGATGGTGCGAGTTGGCATTTAAGATTGACGATGGGGCAGAATCACATGCACATTTCAATACGAACACTGGGAGTGATAATCCCAGGGGGTGGAGAGAAATTAAAAGCGATGTTGTGCAAGCCATGTAGTCCAAGCTACGTGATGCAATCTATGCGCTTCCATATGTGTGGTGCAATCTGCGCGGGGCAATCTACGTTGTATTGTTAAGGGCTGCGTCGAAACAGCGACGGGGCGGCGACGGCGGCCACATGGCCGCCAGACCGACAGACTGGCCAAGACGACGGGCGGCGATGAGGCGACGACGGTGCGGCGACAGCGGCCAGGCCACATGGCCTCCGGACTGGCAGACAGGCCCAATTGACCAGGCAGCGACGGGGCCTACGTTCAAGTACTGTTTGGGGAAGATTGCACTAGACGGCGAGTTTGCACGGAGACGCAGGTCGAGTCATGGAGCACGTCGGGGGGAGGATGACTAGAGAAGGGCAAGAAGGGGGGACTGGGGAGGGAGAACAGAGGAGTTCATGGGAGAGTGGGTCGGAGGAGGTAGGAGATGCGGAGGAGGCGGAGGACACAGAAGAAGCGACAGGGGAGGAGGAGAAGGACAACTGTGAAGAAGGACGAGGAAATGAAGGAGTTGGATAAGCAGTCGCAGAATGATGAGTTCGATGACGAGGAGGCGGCGCATGCTCAGGAGGAGCAGGAGTGCGATCGCGAGAGAGAGGTGGGGTGGTGGAAGGGAAACGGGCGGGGAGAGTGACGGAGGGACGAGCCAGTTCGGCTGAAGGTTGGCAGGAGCATGAGGGAAGGGGGGAGCATGAGGGAAGGAGGGAGCATGAGGGAAGGGGGGGGGGAGCATGAGGAGGGGGGGGGGGCATGGGGAGGGGGGGAGTGGAGCAGGAGTCGAAAGTACAAATTTGGAATCACCTTTCCCCAACACACTCTTTCAACTAAGCGCTACACTGCGCCGTGCGTTTACCAGGCTGCCCGGTCTCGTCCGATTCCCCCGCCGTGGCGTTTACCTGTTGCGGAGGTGCTCATCGTGCGGGTGGTTCTCTTGCCCTCGAAACGGAGAAGGGCTAGGGGTCAGTGGATGAGCCACCACACAGACGAATGGGATGCCCATGGCGCCGTGACATGTACGTTTCCGTTTCGCGCACAGCCTGGCATACTCTAGCTTTTATGTGTAGACGAGCATCGCTTAGGACGCAACTCCTGGGAGGTTATGACTTTAGCACTGGTGCTGGTATAGTTGTGGTCGAACACTGCCCTGATCTGGCAGGATCCCGTCTAATTACTCTAACCGTTGCTTAGTTCTGCCTCGAAGTGCTTAATCCTGAATGTCATGTGAGCGACGCGACAAAACGGGGTCGTTTGCGCCGAAATTGGCGCGTAAGTTGCCCGTGTAAGGTGGCGCATTAGCGCTCTCGTCTCCACTGTAGCGTGCCGCGCGGGCGGTCCGCGTAAGCCACCGCGTGAGGTCGCTGTGTCATCTCGCGTAAGACCCGTTCTTGATTGATCGTTGTTCATTTGGGTTCGTCCAGCATAATGTCCTAGGGGAACCACAAAATACGAATACCGCTGTTCCACGGGCCTCTCCTGGGCCGTGGGTGTGTTCCAAACAGGAGCTTTCGAGGCGAATCCAGCAGTGGCGACGAGGGCAGGGTAGCGTTTTTGTTGGTACCGTTCCCCCACATGATCTCAGGAGAGGAAGAGGCACACAGACACAATAAATCATCGATTCCAGGAGAAAAAAGAAATATATATATATATGTGAGGAAACATTGGAAGTGGGGGACGACGAAAACCTCAAGTACATGGGAGGAAGATTTAGAAGAATGCTAGGATGTGTGTCCACTCATTGGGAAGGCCTAGCGGCCGGTGCCGCCGACCCTGGAGGGGGACGGCAACGACGACGGCGGCGGCGGCGGCAGCGGCGACGATGACGACGGTGAGGCTCTGGAGTCTTTCTTGGGGCTCTCTTCGGAGCCTCTTGGGCTCCGTTGGGGCCTGGGCTGGGGGCGCGGCTGGGGCCAGGGCTGTCGCCGAGGCCGAGGCTGGGGCCACGGCCGGGGCTGGGGGCGGGGGCCGGGGGCCAGGGCCGGGGCCGGGGCGCCGGGGGGTCCCCTGCAGGGGGCCCATGCCCATGGGCTGGGCCGTGTCTGGGGCCGGGGCCGGGGCCCGCGCTGGAGCGGGGGCCCAGGCGCGGGGGGAGACGTATCGATACGTTTGCCCCCCGCGGTTGGGCCCCCGTTCCAGGGGGGAAGCGTATCCATACGTCCCGGGAGGGTCGCCACGGATCTGTGGCGACCCCCCCGGGACCCCCCCCCCGGAGCTCCCCCGGGGACTCCCCCCCCAGCGCAGGGAAGGGATCAAAGGGAAGGAGGTTCCCTTCGTTGTCACTCCGATGTTGTATCATTTGGCTTCGGACGGCGCGCGTATAAGGAAGAGGGCCCAGGCAAATGGCACAGGGGAGGACGGGGACGACGGCTCCGACGGAACAGCCCGACTCGAACGGAAAAGCCCCTCACACGCGCCGTATTGGGATTTGTGTCTTGTCCCTGGGCCCCTTCTTAATCGGGCTTAGCCCTTAACCTCGGGGGTGGATAGAACCCCCAACACGTCGATTAGTGAATTGTCCGTTTTCGGTTCTCGAGAGGGCGCCGTGGCCGTTATTTTCCAGGCTTGCGCCCGCCAGGTTTTGGGCCTCAGGTCGTTTTCACTAACCACGGTTTACTAAAGGGGGGTCTGTCCATCCCCGATAACCGTCTTCACGAAGACCACCCGGGAGGTGCCTCCTGGAGTCGCAGGTTGCCCTCTTCTGTGCTGTTCTTGCCGTCTTCCAGCGCGCGGCCGGTGTTCCCTCTGCTTCCCAGCGCGTTGACATGGATCAGCGCGGGGGGACGGCACTGGCGACACAGCGGACCAGGCGCGTGTCGGAGGAGGCAGCGGATGAGCGGAGTCGGAGGAGGAGGAGGGAAATCATGATCAGAGGAGGGCGAGTTGCGAACGGTAGTTGGATTTCAGGTGGCGCCCTCGTCGCCAAGGCTGGACGCAGTGACGCAGCTAGGAGAATTTGCGCGTTCGGACCTCCAGATGGGTTCAGGGACCGATTGTCAGCTGCCGTTGTCTCAACTCGCAATGCTCCGAGTGAAATCGGAGGAGGATGGGAAGGAGGATGGAGAGTTAGAAGGAGGGGAAGGGTGGGGGGAAAGGAAGCAAAGGTGGTGGAACCAGAGCGGGAGGAGGAGGAGGAGAAGGAGGAGCACGAGCAGGAGGAGGAGGAGAAGGAGGCGGACGAGGAGGAGCAAGCGAAGAAGGAGACCAGGGGCGGGCATGAAGAGCTGCAGAAGTAGTCCAGTCGGGAGGTAGGTGGCGGCCGTCGAGGGGGAGGGGGGGGCGGTGGGGGAGGAGTGGCAACAGCAGGAGCAGGAGCAGGGCCAGATCGGGCCAGAGTGTCCCCGAGTTTGCTCTCGGAGCGCACCATGGAGCGCTCCAGAACCGCCGCGTGCGCCCGACACATCCTTCGGACCTGCTGGCTGTCAGAGAATCCCGACTCATGTTCATCCGAGTTTACATGCGGTCAACCCGCATGGTAAGGACGAGCGATTCTCAAGGTTGCCCGTGCATCCTTTCCCTTCGGCCCATCCTTGGCGCTGGTCGCGCCCCGCTCGCAGAGGGTCGGCGTGGCCTGCCACGGCCCCTGCATCCTCGTCGTGCGCCCTCACTGTACGGGTCGATCGTGTCCTCCTCCTGCCTTCGTCTGAGCGAGCGGGCGTCAAAGTCCGAGAAGGGGAGTCGGAGGGAGGAGAAGCGATACCAACACCACCAGGGGGCCCACCGCCATCGAGGAGGTCCACAATGCCTCTCCGAGCTGGATGCTGGGGATGTCTCGAGCGAGAGGGGGGGACCACACCACCAGGGGGTTCCCCCTTGCCTCCTCGCATCTCCTCGCCCTGTTGGTGTTGGTGTTGCCTTTCCTTGTTCCCAGGGGAGGGCATGGAGTGAGGATGAGAAGGGGAGAAGAGCAGGGAGGAGGCGGGCCGGGGGGGGGGGCGACGGACGTGGACGGGAGGGTCGCAGGGCAGCAGGGGGAGGGAACGAGCAGGGTCAAGTCGGGCTGGTCCCTCTACAGGGGGATCATTCAGAAGTAGTCAGAGAATAGTCTGGGGACTATTGTTTGGGCACTTTTTGCCATTTGGCGTATTTTTGAGTACGTTTTTTGTTTCGTCGAAGGTCCCCCTGTAGGGGAACGCGCCCGACTCGAGAGTAGGGGCCGGTGAGGGGGGGGGACGAGGTGGAGGAGTTGGGGCAGAAGAGGGGGGGGGATCGGCGTCACCCCAACATACTAGTACTATGTGTGCGTCGCCTCTCCTGGGGGCGACGCGCGCACCGAGAAGTCTTACGGTATACGCTCTGCGGCGGGCGCTTTCTGGCCATACCGCTCGGGAAACGAGATACGTTCAGATGGTTATACTACATGTTCGGGTCGGGCGCACGCCTCCAAGGAGGACAAATTGCATATAGTACTAGTATCTCTCTGTGCGTGCCGGGGAAGAGGAGATTGACGCGGAGTTGCCAGCAAGCACCTGCCGCGCTACGTGCGTCCGCAGAGTTCACGGGCGACCCTCGGGCAAGAAAAGTGAGCGGCGTGCGGCCACCAGTCGCCCTCGCCGCAGTGAGCATCGTCGTCGCCGCCGCCGTCACAATCTGTCCTGCTCGATCAGCCAGGCCTGGCGAAAGTGCTCGACGCTGGGGCCACTCCATGGCCCGCTCGCTCGACACAGCTGATGTGGACGACTCCGCCGACCACTTGCGAGCCCTACCCGGGTGCCCTGCGGGTGCGGGCTCCGTGGACGGTGTAATCGTGGTGTGCTACGGGGGGCATCTGGCCTGAGATCGCCAGTCGCCGACCACCAACGTTCCTCATCCTCCCCGAACCGCCTGTTCCTCCGCCTCCTTTCTATCTTCCACCACTTCTTGGATCTGCCCAACTCAGTTATTGGCGCTGGCACTTCACTTCCGTGGTCGACCTGTCCCGTCGCGGCGCGGCAGAGCCAATCCGCCCGCGCGCTCGAGCTGCTGGGGCGAGGCGAACCAGTTGTCCGGCTGCCAGGGAAAGGCATTGGGCAGAGGGCAGCCGCCGAGCGGGGAGGAACGGGGCAGGTCATTCGCACTTCGAAGGTTTTCGGCGCGAGTCGCCTGTGCGGCCAGCCGCTGCTGGGGCGTCCTGACCCTGGACGTGGAGCCGCGTCGCGCCCACGCCGAGGGTCGGACGGGGCAAGGACGAGGGCGAATCCGTTCCGGAGCGTTCCGAAGCGCTCTCAGAGCGTTCCCGACCTCGAGACTGGTAAGCCGAGTGGGGAGCTGTATGCCTGGATCGTTTTACGAGACGAGAGCCATCCGCCTGTCTCCGTGGCTGTCCCTGTCGTTTGCCGTGATAGCCCCCCCAGAGGGGCAGCGGACAGATGCCCAGGACGGCCCGAACCCCCACCTTCAGTCTGAGCGCTGGTCTCTGAGAAGTCCTCACTCGAACGTATCCTCGGTCCGGGGAGTAGCGATATTGGTGCCTTGAGTCAAAGGGGGAAAAACCACCCGGACCCGATCACTGGCGCTTGCTAAACGGCCTGGGGCGTCTGCGAAACAGCCTTGCCCTGTTCGATTCCTTCCCCGGGTGCGTTTGCTAAACGGCTTCGCTTGTCGGGGTGATTACCATACGGGGGGAGGAGTTTCTACCCTCTGTCAGCCACGCGCAGAAGGGGGGTAGGGGGAGGGGGGAGGGCGTCTTAGAAGCACCCCCGCTTCTTAGAAGGCGCGGGTCTTCTCCACAGATGCGAGGCCGGCGCCTTCTGAGGAGCAGCCTCCTTCTAAGACGCCCTCCCCCCTGCTCCCCCTGCCCCCCCCTTCTGCGCGCCGCCAGCTCCAATGGGGGCTCCCCGCAGGCTGGCCTCGTCCCAGTGCCGCGCAGCCTTGCTCGCAGAGGGGTCTGGGCTCGGAGCGCGCCGCCCCGCGACCCGTGCGCCTCCTCTCGGCCGGGGCCAGAGCGAGGGTACGCAGCCCAGCCGCAGGGCAAGGCTGGGCCACCTTCCCAGGGCCGGCCACGCGCAGTTCGACCTGGAGGACCTCCTCGGGGATCGGACCCCGCGATCCGGACCCCCCCCTTCCTCCTCCTCCTCCTCCTCCTCCTCCTCCTTCTCCTCCTCCGTCCTCGGGGATCGGTCGGGGGTGGACAGACCTCCAACCCTGACACGTCGACTGAGGCATTGGCCGTTCTCGGTTCGCGAGAGGGCGCCGCGGCCGTCATTTGTGCAGGTCTGGGTCCGTCTGTTTCGGTCCCAGGCCGTGTTCACTGAGGGGAGGTTTCCTACAGGGAGGTTTGTCCACCGCCGAGGGTAGGGGGAGGGGGGACGCCTCCTTAGAAACACCCTTGCTTCTTGAAAAGTGCGGGCCTCTGTCTGTATAGATGTAGGGGCGGCGCCTTCTGAGAAACAGCCTCCTTCTAACAAGCCCACCCCCTCCCCCTACCCCCTTGTGCGCGCCGCTAACAAGGGTACCTTTGCATCCTCGCCTCCTCGGTCCATCCTTGGCCACTTTCGTTGGCCGCGTCTCGCTTGCAAAGTGTCGGCATGGCCTTCCGAGACACTTGCATCCTCATCGTTCACTCTCATTATACGGGTTATCTGTAAGCCCGCTCCGGAGCGTTCCGGAGCGCTCTCAGAGCGTTTGTGAAAGCTCTGAGGAGGCCGCGGCGCCCGAGACCTCCTCCAGATCCGCAGGATCTCCGCGGCTCTCGGTGGATCCTCGCCCGATTTCTACCCTCGCCCGGGCTTCGTCTCAACCTCTCTTGGCGCCCCGGTCCGCCCCGCGGGCCCCGCGGGCGCCCAGCCGCCATGGAGAGCGCGGTCGGCGCCGCGGTCGTGCCGCCGCGGAGACCGCACAGCGCCCCGCCGCTGGGCCAGTTCCGCCAGTTCGACCTGGAGGACCTCCTCGGGGATCGGACCCCGCGATCCGGACCCCCCCCCCCTTCCTCCTCCTCCTCCTCCTCCTCCTCCTTCCTCCTCCTCCTCCTCCTCCTCCTCCTCCTCCTCCTCCTCCGTCCTCGGGGATCTGTCGGGGGTGGACAGACCTCCTACCCTGACACGTCGGTTAGTGAAGTGGCCGTGTTTGGCTCGCGAGAGGGCGTCGCGGCCGTCATTTTTGCGGGTCCAGGTCCGTCGGTTTCGGTCCCAGGCCGTTGTCACTAAAGGGAGGTTTGCTAAAGGGAGATTTGTCCACCGCCGAATCGGACCCCGCGATCCGGGCCTTGCCTCGTTTTCGCCGCTTTTTGCGGATAGCTCCCTGGAGAACCATAGAGAGGGTGTCTGATGTTAGAAGCTGGCAGCAGAGGGTACAGGCCAGCCCCTCTCTCACAGGCTCCTCGGCAGGCATCCCCGCAGCAGCCTGCTGGAACTCGCAGCGTGTCCCGAGAGCGTTCGCCTATACTCGTTCCCAATACGCCTGTCGGAAGCCTTTCCGCAGCTCCTTGGAAGCTCCTTGGGCCTCCTGTCAAGCTCCCTTCCCCGAGCTTGCAAGCTCCCCAGGCATTCTTTCCAGCCTCATGCCAAGCGTCATCTGGAGGCACTTCCGGCGCTTTGGAATGCGATGCTATCCGGGATTTGGACGCCACAAGTGGACCTCCTGGGAGGCCTTCGTCGCCAGTGCTGGGTTAAGTTGGGCATTCTGGTATAGCAGTATCGGTATCTTGTGGTTTCCCAATGTTCCCAATGGATGCGGACAAAAACACGAAGCACACACAACGAGGTCCAGCGATCAGTGCAAGCCAGTAGGGAAGCAACTGAGCACGAATCCAGCATCTTCGGGGGGAACCAGCGCTGGCTTGCCAAAACACGGCGGGGACGGGGGCATCTCCATATTCCTGCGGTCGCAACCATCACCGCGAATAGTTATGTTGGACATCCGGGCACATGAGCCAGAGACGCTCAACAGATGGATGTGCACCATGTTCCTGGCGAAGGCCCGCAGAACTTACTATATATATATATATATATATTGTTGCGCGGCTTCCACTCAACGTTCACAACAAAACATACAACATCAAGTGTCGGGTGTCTAGCGCCGATCCAACAAAACTGATAGACCTCCGACAATCTGTGTTTATGCAGTTTGGTGATCCTCTTTTCACGTTGGGCTTTGCCGGAGGTCAGCTGACGTTGCAATTTCGAGGGGGGGCGGCCTGGGCCGTAACGGAATGAGTTGTTTTTTCCTGTGTTCGACGCAGGGCCGACACGCATTCGACGTAGACTCGTGGATTCGCGGTTTGACGCGGAGCGACGCGATGGGACAGCAAACCGGGCCAGGACGACCCCAGCGTCTCCAGGTGAGGCTCGGGCCGGGCGAAAGGGGGGGATTGGGAAAGGGGGGGTTACGAAATTTGCTGCATGCAGCTGATTTCGGCCTCACCGAGGGGCCCATTCCTCGATGCATACTCGCCTCCGGCGCCGGGAGGCGCCGGGAAAATCAGCTACGTGAGCTGATTCTCAAACCCCCCCTTTGCTATCCCCCCCTTTCGCCCGACCCGAAGGTGAGGCGTGGACGCTGCTGGCCAGCTCGGACCCTCACGGCCGCCTCGGAATCTGCCGGGGGCCCCGTCCTGGCGGCCTCCCGGGCCACCTCGGGCCTCGGGCCCTCTTTCTGTTCAGGACGTCTGGGGAGTCTGCGGTAATTCCAAGACGAGAGCTGCATGATGTTGCTGTCTCTCCGTAGTCGTGTTGTTGGCTCAACGCCACGAGCGCGCGGACAAGCGCGCAGCAGGAAACGTTTACCATATGTCCTAGTTTCTCACCTTTTGGACATCAATCGGTGACGCGCTTGTGAGTTGCTGCCTTGGAGTGGGATTCCAGATTCATTGCTGTGAGTCTGGTGGAAAATACAGCAAACGAGTATTTCCAAACAACAGTTCGTTCTGTTCAGGAGCGAAAGAGGGACGTACACGTACATGAATCCACGCTGGCTTCGAGGGTACGCATTGCGCAGATGCTCGTATCACGCGGCGGGTCTCGCGGATCGAGGGGCCGTGCTCATGTACACAGCTGGGCGCGCACGCCTCTGGTGGGCTCCCTCTCTGCGCGTCCCCGTCCCTTCGAGCAGAGGGCTCCGCGCCTCCCGTGTGCGGCTGCCTCGGCGGAGGGCCACGCGCGGCGCGCCCGGCCGGAGGCTCGGCCGGCGGCGTGGGAAGGCACCATCCACCGACCCACCCCACAGCCCAAGCCCGAAGGTCACCACCCACCAAACCACCCCAACCCAACCCGAAGGTCTCGATTTGCCCTCCATTTCCAGTTGGGGGGGGTCGGGGAACATCGAGAAAACACATATGGAACCCGTACCCCCCCCAACCCGAAATTCGGGTCTTCGGGTTGGGTTGGGGTGGTCTGGTAGGTAGTCAGAAGGGCCCCAGATTGGCGGGAGCGGGCGCTGGCACAGGGTCGGGCCTCGGGCCGAGCGAGCGGGGGGGAATGGGAAAGGGGGGGGCGGGGGCGAAAGCTGCCGCATGCGGCCGGTCTCGGCCCCGCCGCTGGGCCCATTCCAAGCGGGGGGAGCGTTGGGGAACACTGAAAACGCGCGTGGAGCCCGCTACCCCCCCCCACACAACCCGGCATTGGGGCTTCGGGCCGGGTGAGGCTGGTTCGGCAGGTGGTCATTTTTTGGCAGGGACCGCCGGCGTTTTGGAATCTGGCACGCCGGGCATTCCTTTGGATGCGCCGAGAGGGCACACCGATCGAAGAGGTTCACTGCGAGCAACAGCTGCTCCTTCCCGTTCTGGACCTGCCGACGTGACGTGGCGATGGGTCAGAGCTAGGCCATGGCTCGGCCAGGCCCTGCGTTTCCCCAGCCGTTGTGGAAACCGTTTGGTCAGGAGGGAAAAATGCACACAGACACAATTCATCGCCGATTCCCAGGAAGAAACTATGGGAAGTGTGGGGGAAGGCAAACACCCAGAAAATATAGGAAAATATGGGGAGTCCTGTTATTAGTGATTATTTATTTGTGTGTCCCAGGGCCCCTTCATGTGGGGACATGCAAGGGAGAGAGGGAGAGAAGCAGGAAATCAGGAGAAGGAATAGGAGGTGGAGGAGGCTTCTTGGAGGGCTTCTTGGAGCCGTCTTGGGGAGGGGCCTCCTAAAAACTTGCTGGACACTTCTAAAGCCAATCGGAGCCTCTTAGGGGCCTGGCTGGGCAGTCTTGGGGCGTTCTTGCCCCGTCTGGCGCACTCGGTGGCCGTGTTTGGGGCCTCTCTGGGCCGTCTCGGTGTCCTCACCGAACGCTTTCGTTTGGCACGGTGCCGGCCGATTTAGTGGTTTTCGGCCCCTCCGTTCACCGTGCTTGCGTCTTGGACCTGAGGCCTACTAATAAGTCGGGCCTGTCCCTCTACAGGAGGAATATTCAAATATAGCCAAAAATAATCAGGGGACGATTTTGTGACTATTTCTTAGCAGTTGGGAGTTTTTGTTGGAGTATTTGGGATTTTTCGCTCCAAATCCGCCTGTAGGGGGACAGGCCCGACCTAAGCCTATTACGGTCTCTGGAGGGAGCTTAAGGGGCCTTGTTGGACACCTCTCTTGGGCGCTTCCTGCGGCCTCTTGGGCGCCTTGTGGTGGGTACCACCTCTCTTGGGTACCTCTCGTGGGCGCCCCTTGCGGCCGCTTGGGAGCCTTGCTGTCTGTGACCTCTGGGGGGCATGGTTAGGGTATCGGGCCCGTCTCGCCTGGAGGATGAGGAGAAAGACGGAGGAGGAGGAGGAGGAGGAGGAGGAGGAGGACGGAGGTGGAGGCGGAGGAGGAGGAGGAGGAGGAGGAGGAGGAGGAGGAGGAGGAGGACGGAGGAGGAGGACGGAGGTGGAGGCGGAGGAGGAGGAGGAGGAGGAGGAGGAGGAGGAGGAGGAGGAGGAGGAAGGGGGGGAGGTCCGTGATTGGCGCGCGTTTATTTTTTTGTGGGGGGTCGGGGTTGTCTTTGAGGCCTCCTGGGCTCCTCTTGTAGGCCTCGGGCGTCTTCCTGGGGTGGTCGTCGGGGCCCCCTGGACAGTCGTGGAGGCTCTTACGATCGAGCAGGCCGGACTGCCATGATCGCGCGAAGCCTTGAGGCACTCCAGCAAAAATGGATTCTCGAGGCGGCCGCCACCGCCCCCGGGAGGGCCGAAAGGGGCCTCACCCTCGGGCCACCTGAGGACATGACGGAAGCGCCGGCTCCGAGCCGCGCTCCAGGAGAGCCAGGAAGGGAAGCCTGAGGAGAGCCAGGAAGCCTCCAGGAGGAGGCCAAGGTACCATGCCTCCTCCTTGCCTCCCCCTCCTCCTCCTCCTCCACCTCCTCCTCCTCGTCATCTTGCCAAGGTCCGATGCCCGCCACCTTGCCTCATGCCCAGAGGAGGTCAAGGGTACCCCGTACCACTACCCGTCCCCCGTTTTCCCCGGTTCGGGGCCTCCTCGGAGGCCCACGTCGCCACCGCTGGGTTCGCCCGGAAGTCCTGGTCAGGACGCGCCCTGGGAGAGGTCTGGGAAGAAGCGGAATCGGTTCTTTGTGGTAACCATTCATACTTCCTTCTCGTCCCCCTCCTCCGGATCCCCCTTCCTCACCCTCGCTCGACGTCCCCCCTACTCGTGCTCCTCAATTATCCTCCCTCTCATGACGAGAGGCTTCGAGAAGCCCTGTCCCCGAGGTCCTCTCAGCAGTGGTGAAGTGGCTAGCCTTGAGCTGCCTGAGAGAGTGCCGACACCCCAGGAGGGGAAGTCAGACCAATTGGCTTTCGCTGAACACATCGCTCTCGGAATGCTCATCCGAGATGCGCAGATGTCGCTGGGGGCCAGAACCAGCCAGTAACTCAATCGGACTCACAAAGACACCCTCCAGTCAGATGCGATTGTCCTCCTCATCCTCGTCCTTAGCCTCCTCTTTCATCACTTCTCCTCCCTCCTGCCATGTCGTTGACGCCCCCTGTCCGAGGACATGACCATGGACGTGGTCGCCGCCTTCCAGGACGGGCGCCAGGAGGAGGCTTTGGCCGGTGCCGTGGCCTTCTCGGCCGCGGCGAAGGAGGAGCTCGGCGAGTCGTATACACTCCTTGCTCCTTGACAGACCTCTGGCGACTCGAAGCAGCAGATGTTGTTCCTCTGCGGTGCTGGCCATGGAGATTGTCTGTATCCTCTGGCGCGCAACGGTCGTCGCCTGGGCCCCGTCCCGAGTATTTCTGTAACGATTGTACGCAGGGGTGGGGGGGGGACCTGGAGCCCCCCACCCATGCTGGTGTCCGCGCGCAGAATCGCAGCGCAGACCCGCCTCGGAAAGTGCCCCACCCCGCCCGAAAGTTACCTTTTGCCCCCACCCCCCGAGTAACGATTGTTAGCGGTGTTTCCGGATGTACTGGACAAAAACAATCACCCACCATGTGGGTCACTTCCCATTACCGCCCGCCCGAATCATGGTCCCACGCGGTGAGCGGGATGCGAGCAACAGCACGTCGCAGGTCCGTAAGGTGTTCGCCACGTTTGGCTCCCCTGGGTTGACGGCCCAACGGCCTTGCACGGGTCGTCGGATGCCGAACAACTTCTTCCGTCGGCGGCGAGTCAGGCGATCCGCACCAGCGTGGGGCTGAAGTCGAAGAGGACAAGACGCCAAAAACACAAGCTCTTGGCGCTCCGCGCGGATTTCCTGGATCCGCGCCGGGCCCCCCCCCCCGGCGGCGCCTCCGGCGCCGTCCCTGGCACGCTACTCGCGCCAGGGAGGAGATCCAGCGCGGATGCAAGAAATCCGCGCGGAGCGCCAAAAGTTCATGTGTACGGCGTTTGTTCTTCCTCTCTAACTGCGCTCCGTCGTGAGCTCGTTCGCGACTCGAGGGTGGCCGGATTGCGGGGCGCAGCTCGGGCCCCTGAAGCTCAGGAGGGGAAAAAACACACAGACACAATTAATCGGCGATTCCCAGAAAATATAGGAAAATATGGGAAATGGGGGGGGAAGACAAAAACCCAGAAAATATTGGAAAATATGGGGAATAGTTTTGTTTGTGTGTATTTATTTGTGTATCCCAGTTCCCCTTCAGAAGCGGCCGTGCGGGGCGGCTCGGCCCCCCCCCCGTGGCACGCTCTCGGCGGGGTGCGGCTGCCGGAAAAGAGGCGGCCCCGGGCGTGAAGGCCCCCTTTGGCGCGCTGCAGAGAGTGCGGGGGGCCTCGGAGGCTGCCGTACCCATCGGTCGTTGAAAAGTTTCCAATCTACTTCGAATTATGCAGAGAAGGACAAGGTACCCATACCTCTACCCTTCCCTCGCTTTCCCTTTTTTGGGCCTCAAAGGCCCTCGTTGTCACCGCTGGATTCGCCTCGAAATTCTGGTCAGAACGCACACCGGGAGAGGTCTGGGGGGTAGCGGTATTGGTAACTTTTCGCTTCCCCAATCTCCAGTGGAGTGCCAGCTTCCAGCTTATCTCCAAGCTTCGGTAGTTCTGGAGTGCCAGCTCCCTATCTGCTCGAAGCGCCTTCCTGCTTCCAGGATCGAGCGGCCCCCCTCTGCCCTCCTCTTCAGGGGGCGTGCGGACACCCCATCTGCTTTTTCCACCTACACCTTAGGCGATGCTTAAGAAAACCTAAGTTTTCGGCCAGAGTCTCGAGTATTCTTAATGTGTCAATGTAAATCCTAAGATTTGAATGGGCATCCTGAGTTTTTATTTAAATTCTGAGACTATCAATTTCTTAACCCATGATTTCTTAAGCATTTCGCAGGGTGTACTCCTTCCGACCGATGGGTGCCTTTTTTCGCGACGAGCGGAGGCCCTGGCACGCCAGCGCTCGAAGCACAGCACACAACAGACGAGATGGCACACGCACAAACGTGCGGGGCTCCGCGCGGATTCCTTGGATCTGCGCCAGGGCCCCCCCCGGCGCCGCCTCTGGCGTCGCCCCCTTGCTCAGGAGCGAAGGAAGGACGTACATGTACATGAATCCGCGCTGTTTTCGAGAGCACGCATTGCACAAATGTTCGTATAACGCGGACGGTCTCGCGAATTGAGGGGCCGTGTTCATGTACATAGTTGTGCGCGTACGTCCTTTGTGGGCTCCCTACCTTGCGCGCTCCGCGCGCCAGGCCAGCGCCGATCCGAGAAATCCTCGCGGAGCTCCAGCAGTCTATGCGCTCTCTTTCGGTCGTGTAGGGGTCAATCGCAGGCGATCTCTGGCCCCCCGACCCCGAGCTCCGCCCGACAAAAAGGGACCCCGCTCAGGAGATGGAGGGGAACTCGGGGATACACCGCCAAGGGGATATTCGGACGCATCCCCCAATTATCGAGGATGGGCCCCCCCCCCGACGAATGTCCCTGAGTTTTTGGGGGTCGCCATACCCCCTGCTGTTCAGCCCCTGCCGCCAGGAGCTCGGCGAGACGCACCCCACGTACATCAACGCGCTCGCCACCGTCGCGGCCCTGGTGAGCCAGATGGGCGCCCCCGAACAGGCCGCGGAGCTGCTGCAGGAGGCGGAGGACCTGCAGGAGGAGGTCGAGATGGAAGCCCTCGAGAGGCACCGGGAGGGCGCCCAACTTCGCAGAAGTCCAACGCATGGAAAACAATCACGAAGAAAAGTGGTCGTTTCCTTATTCATTGTTTTGCCGCTCGGCGCGGGCCGTCGCGCCTCCTCCTCCCCCCCCTTCCCCTGGAGCAGATCTTGTTTGTTGGTGGCGCCTGCTTCAAGCAGGTGGAGTCCCTCCCCCACGGGGACGCGCTGTTGCAAAGGGTCGCGCTCCGCAGAGGTCCAGAGCCAGGCCCCCTCCCCCCCTCTCCCCTCCGCCCAGTGTCGAAGCGCCGAACAAGAATCAGGAGGGAAAGAAACACACAGACACAATTAATCCTCGATTCCCAGAAAATATGGGGAAATATGGGAAGTGGGGGAGAAGACAAAAACCCAGAAAATATGGGAAAATATGGGGGATATTTTTATTTGTGTGTATTTATTTGTGTGTCCCAGTTCCCCTTCAAAGAAGACGGTCACAGAGGCGGCGTGACCGAGCTGCCGGAGCTCCGCGCAGTTCTCTCCTTTGGCGCTGGCCGTGAGGCCCCCCCCTCGGGGCGGCGCCTCTCCCTGGCCGGGGAGGGGAAGGGTCCAGCGCGGATCCAAAAGACCCTCCTAGTCCTCCTCCCCCTCCTCCTCCTCCCCCTCCTCCTCCTCCTCCCCCTCCTCCTCCTCCTCCTACCTCCTCCCTCCTCCTCCTCCTCCCCCTCCTCCTCCTCCTCCCTCCTTCCTCCTCCTCCTCCTCCTCCTCCTCCTCCTCCTCCTCCTCCTCCTCCTCCTCCTCCTCCTCCTCCTCCGCGCGGACTTTCGAGAAATGTTCATGTTCACCCTGCTGCTTGTTCCTGTGTGTGCTGTCCCTGAGCCTGTGCGAGCGCCAGCTATCGAGACCTCTAACGTACTGAGAGAAGCAAGGCGGCGGTTCTTCTCCGTTCTCGCCTCCGGAGGCCCTTGCCAGGAGCGTCAACGCAGCCACTCATGATGAAAAGCCGGTCACCAGGAGAGGGTCGAGACTTCCGGGGATCCAGGATTGGGAAAACCAAGACACGACATTCCACACCGAGCCCCCCCCTCCTCCTCCTCCTCCTCCTCCTCCTCCTCCTCCTCCTCCTCCTCCTCCTCCCCCTCCTCCTCCCCCTCCTCCTCCTCATCATCATCTATCATCTCATCATCATCATCATCATCATCAATCATCATCATATCATCATCATCATCATCATCATTATCATCCTCATCCTCATCCTCATCCTCATCCTCATCCTCATCCTCATCCTCATCCTCATCCTCATCCTCATCCTCATCCTCATCATCCTCCTCTTCCTTCTCCTCCTTCTCCTCCTCCTCGTCATCCTCCTCCTTCCTCCTCCTCCTCCTCCCCATCTGGCCTTCGGTTGTTTGGGGCTCCTCGTCGCCACGTCTGGCCGCTGAACGCGGCCCAGGGCGCGAGCCAGGATGGACCCCCGGCAACGTCCTCTGGGCGCGCCGGGGCGGGCTTTCGGCGGGCTCTTGTCGGGCGGGTGGGTATGGGGGGTGACCCAAACTTTTTTAGGGAAAAAGAAGCCCCATTGGGAGCCAGTTGTTGCCCAAAAGGGGCCCTATCAAGGGCCCCTGTAGGGCCCGTTTCTTCACTCCCGATTTGGGCCCCCCCATGATCACCCGCCCGACCTTGGCCGTGGAGGATGCGCCGACGCCGATCTTGGCCAGGCCCGTCCCCAGAGATCCGACGTCTCGATTTTGTTCCATGCGGGGCCCCCTGGCGGACGGCTTCTCATCCTGAGTCGTTCTGCTGACGGCCTCAGGGCCTGGCGAGGGCTTGTGGAGGCCCTGGGCACCCGCTGCAACGCGCGCGCCGCATCCCCCAGATCGCGGCTGCGCTGGAACGCAGCCAAGTCCCCGATCCTTCCCCCTCGGCCTCGTCTTCCTCCTCTTCCTCGTTCCCTCGTCGCCCTCCGAAAGCGCAAAACTGAAATTCCGTCGTAACGCGTTCGGCGGCGGAAAAGAAGTTCCCGATACTTCCTGAGCCGAAGCCTGACCTTCTTGCCTTCCGTTCGTTCCGCGAGAGTCCAGACGGCTCCGTCCGCTTCGGGCGCACCAGCACACCAGCACCCCCCCCTCGAACATACGCGTCCGCACCCGCGGCAGACATCCCTCCGCACCGATGTCTCCAGACGCTGGACTTTTTGGGATCGCACCCGTTGTGGGCCCGTGAAGAAGCACCCCTGCTTCTCAGAAGGCGCGGGCCCTTCTCTACAGAGGTAGGGCCGGCGCCTTCTGGGAAGCGGCCTCCTCCTAAGAAGCCTTCCCCTCTCCCCCCAACCCCTATAGTGCGCGCCGCCAAGTCCCGTGTTAGCGTTGTCTGTCCTTCCCAGGGTAACGCTCGTTGCTCGCGCCAACCGCCCCCTCTGGGTAACGCCAACGATCTTATTGGGGGGGGCTGGACCTTGATGTTATTGGAGGAGGAGGAGGAGGAGGAGGAGGAGGAGGAGGAGGAGGGGGAGGAGGAAGAGGAGGAAGAGGGGGACGGGGAGGGGGACGGGGAGTTCCCTGGCGGACGCCGCCCCCCCTCGAGGCAGCTCGCCGGCGAGATCAAGGCCGCAGCCGCGGCGCCTCCGCGCGGCGCCGCCGCCGCCGGTGGCGGGCCCGCCTCGGGGCGCGCGGCGCGCGGGCGGCGGAGGCGCGGCGCGGCGGGGGGGGTCGATCCTGCCTCCTTCGCCCTCCTGCCTCCTCCGCCCTCCTGCCTCCTTCGCCCCTCCTCCTTTTGCCCCCTCCTGGCTGCCTCCCCGCGCGCTTCCACCCCCTCCACCTCCTGCCCTTCCTCCCCCCCTCCTGCCTCCTCCGCCCCGTTCGCGCTCCTTGTCCCTCCCCCGATCACTCCCCCCTCTCCTGGCCCCCCCCCCCTCGCCCGGCCTCTGCATGACAGCCTCAGTTGTTAGTCAGCGTGGAATTCTAACAAATATCCTGCCTCCTCCCCTCCCCCCCTCCTCCTCCTCCTCCTCCTCCTTCTCCTTCGCCTTCTCCTCCTCCTCCTCCTTCTCCTGCCTCATCCCCCGCCTCCCGCCTCCTCCTGCCCTGATCGGGTGTCCTCCCCTGTTGGGCGGCGAGCGAGGGGGGGAAGCGAGGTGGAGGGTGCCTTCTCAGAAGGCCGCGGGGGTTCCCAGAAGCCCCGCATTCTGAGAAGTGTTCAGTGTTTTCGGGTAAAGCTCAGAGAGCTCCTCAGAAGGCTGGAGGACTTTTGAGCCCTCTGAGAAGGCCCGCCCCCTCTCGCTTCCCCGCTGGGCTGGCGATCCGGGCGCTGCAGACTCGTTCACGACGATCGTTTTCGCATGCTTTCGGGCCTCGGGGCCGTCGCGTAATTCTACCGCCCCCGCTCGAAACATGGCGCAGGACATAATCCTAAGTCGGCCCTGTCCCCCTACAGGAGGGATATTAAAAAATAGTTTAAAAAAAAATAGTCTGGGGACAATGTCTTGACTATTTTTGACCATTTGTGGAGCACCTGCTGGCTATTCGAATTATTTTTTCGCCTGGAATTTCCCTGTAGGGAGACACGCCCGACTTGAAGATAGTGGTCTAACGCTCTGGTCGTGTTTTTGCTGCAGTGCCGATATTGCTGCTGGCGGCCTCGGGCCAACAGGG